GCCTATGCAGGGGGTCGGACTCGATGATCTATTGAGGTCCCTTCCGACCCTAACATCTATGAATCTATGAATAAGACACCCCTTTGAAAATGCCAGCTTTTAGCTTTCACTCACTTTTGACTGTGGAAAAATAACAGAGCAATTTTTCTGTTGCAAAGAACTCAGAAAAACCACAATGAGTCAGAATATTTTTTGACACTATGGATTCCTGTTTGAAATCTCTGTGTTTATCTTGTAAATTGTGGGTAGGTGTTTGCATACCTCACAGTGCTAATATTGTGCAGCACCCCATGGCACCCTTAAAAGGATTTCTCAGCACACAAAGTTGCCACAGCACTCTGGCTGCGAATCACTGCCTTAGATTCTGCTGTCTACCCCATAAGTCTGAGACTGGATGAGCTCTTTGGAAAAAAATCTCAATATTGTCAGCCCCAGTATTTGAAAATCATGAATCCAGACCCACAAAAGTCATGAGACTGGCTTAAAAATAAAGAGATTTTTGTTTAAAATATTGGTTATTTTTCTTTACCTCACAGTGTCTGAGCCATCCAGGTGCACTCTAGTCATTTTTAAAGCTTTTTTTTCCCTGCAAGCATGAGGGCTAGAAATGTATTTATTTTTAAATGAAAAGGTGAGAGAGGAGAGAAATGATGTGACTTCAGGAGCTGGGGAGAGAGGATGGCTTTGGTGGGGTAGATTGTGTTATAATTTGGTTTTTTTTCCTCACTGGGCAGGGGGAGGAGGTTGTTTGTTTTAATTTGGTTCTGTATTTTATTCTAGCTCTATAATCATTTTATTTTTCTTTTATTATAAGCTGCCTTGAGTCTTTTTGGGGAAGGTAGCATCTAAATCTAATAAATAAATAAGGCATTGTTTTCTGTCCTGTCTCCCCTCAAGTGCTGTTTGGGGACCAATATGCCTGTCGGCACAGCATGAAATAATGAAATCGCAACTAAGTTTGTAAAACAGTTCCCCTCCCACCAAGTTCAGATGCCCCAGCAGCTGGCTGAGGTAGTGTCCAGCTTCCCCTCCCTGCCTTGGAGTCTGTGCATGACCTTGTTGGAGACACCATGCTACAGAAATTTGATGATTGTCCTCAGAGGAGCAGAAGTGTCAGAAATATCCCAGTGGCTGGGGCTCGAGTTGTCCAGCCAGGGAGGGATAAACTTAGCTTGGTTTGGAAAGGGCTAAATTGAGACCTGCCCGTCTTCCCCCCTGGACAGACTTGCTTTATCCAGAGCCCTCCTCTCCTTGGAGTTAGACAGACCTTTCATAAGGGCCTTGGGGATGATGTACAAAGGAAACCCTTGGTTCAGGCCTGAGAGGAAGGTTGAGCTTCGTGGACCATTTTTAATTCCCTACTGTGTCACCAACTCCCTTTGTGATCATGGTTCCTTAATCTCAGCAGTCTCCCCACCGTAAAATGGAAGGAGGTGCTAAGAATAAGCATAGTGAAGAATTAGCTGCTTAGATATTAGGGCTGTGCGAAGCTTTGGTAGCCAGTTCAGTTCGGAGGAGATTCGGCCCCATTCAGTGGCTGAATCTCCAAATCTGAATTGAAATGGGAGACCCATTAATAGGTCCAAATCAATTTGGAAGCCTTCAGATGGGTTTGGAGAGATATGGCACCGATTCGGAGATTCAGCCATAGATTAAACAGGCAGCAGTCCTCGACCACACTGGACACAACTGCCTCCAGCTGGTAAATCTGTT